CATATGTTTATCCCCTTAAAACTTTTCATCTGTTCGGATTTCCTAGCTGAAAGTCTAGTGATCCGAAAATTATAGGGATAAAAACTTACCTTCTCGAAAATTTCAGCCAGGAAAAGGCTCCCGAAAATTCTAGGTGGTCTTTTTTAGGGTCCGTTAAAAATGGGTAATTTTACCATTTTGTAGATGTTCGAAAATCCTAGGAGAGGCAGGCAAGCAAGAAATTTTACAACAAATGCTCCGAAAATTCTAGATCTCAAATCGTCTTCCGAACAGATATTTTCCCGAAAATTGCCGTTGGGTGCCCCTGAGACGGTCATCGGCGAAGGTGTTGATGACAGAACGGGACATAGATCACCGTCGCTGTGAAAGAAATTTTGACAGCACAAGTCGTCTACGTCTTCGCCTTTCTTCACCTTGCACGTTGAATTAGCGTAAGAAATAACACCGAGATAAAAGAAAAAAAACTTCTCTTTGATCAGCTTGATCCCTGCGCATTTTGCCTCCTTTAATTGATGCTCCAAAAAATTCAACCGGCGTGAAAATATTGAGAGCCGATATCAGTAGTGTGACCTTCCCAGAATTTTTACCTGGGTAAAACAAAACCCGAGATGAATTTACCTAGGCAGATTTTTGATGAATTTGTAAAAAGGGTTTACCTAGGTAAAAGTCTGTAGTGTGACCACAGCTTTTAAAGGGACAGTGTCCCGATTATGCGCACGCGTGAGCGTCATCTGTTTTTTCTTCAAAAGACAATAGAACTGTCAAATTGACTCGACAAGATTTCCTTCCGGACCGCACCGCCGACTATGCCAAGCCAAATGTAGCAATATTTTTATTATTTATAAATGCATTCAATTTAATACCTTTTTTTGCTATTTGCTTACTTCTATTCAATTTAATCCTCAATTTTCATTCAATTCAATCCCCAATCATTCAATTTAATAACTGATATTTATTCAATTTAATCTACTAAAAGTCATTCAATCTGAACACTGATACTTATTCAATTCAATCCTTCCGTATTCGTTCAATTTAAAATATATATATATATATTTTTTTAATTTGATCACTGATATCTATTCAATTTATCCAACCGCATTTTATTCAGTTCGAACGACATACATTCATTCAATTCAATCAGCCCATATTCGTTCAATGTTCGCACTCATTCATTTAATCTCGGGGATTGGGACGAGTGAAAACAAACGCGCGGTACTGGGTAATTCTTCCCGCTCTTTGAAGTCGACCATCTTGGTTACACTATGGATGAAGAGAAATTAAAGAAGGCGGCTGGCCTTCTTAAAGAGGCATCTGATATGTTGCTGACTGTGGAAACATCAACATCTATTAGTTATGGAACGGATTCAAGTGATTCGAGTACAATGAGACCGGCAATAACAACGCCGATCGCCGAAACCCTTGCAAGGGCAATATCAATGATGAACACAAGCTCCAGTCGCAGTCTGTACAGAAGACTCAACAGAAATGAGAGGCTAAGAGCGACAGCAGAGTCAGCGACGAAAAACAAGACGGCGAAAAAGACCAAGAACATCGAGAAAAGGCCATTTGAATTTGCTCTTCTAAGGGCAATTTCCGAAGAAAGCGATGAAGAGGATGAAGTTGAAACATTGAAAAAAGAGAAGATTGTGGAAAGAGGTATGGTGGTACTTAATGAGGATGATAGCGAATTGTGTGTGCGTGGAAAAATAGTTTCATCCCTCAAATCGGAATACGGTTTACTAGGACCAAATGACTTCGACTTTGTTAAAGTAACCCAGAAGAAAATATCAGTGTTAAGACTAGCTGAGGGAACTGAGTACAATTACAGTGTCGTAAAGAAACTAGCCGGACAAGGGCTTCTCTACATTCGCATGAAGAAAGCATACAACTTTGTTTTAAACGAATCAGACTCAGGGCAAGATCAGTCTGATTGGCTTGATGAAGATTTACTTGAGTCTCACAGGCCAGCTCAAAGACCCACCAGTACCACTACATGTCATGATCAGACAGGGGAGTTCACTGGTACAAGTACAAGTACAAATACCAGTACCCAACAAACGGAAGAGTCGACAATTACCACCGATCCTCAAAGAGATAAGTCCCTGACATGCCAAACAGAGAAGAAGAACAGTGAGTTCCTTTACACGATTATCAGTGAATTTCCATCAGCAAGCATAACAGAGCCAACTGAAATGTTGAGATACTTGCAAAGCAAAATTGTACAAGGCCGACCCTTGGATGTCATAGATGATGCCACAGAGCACGTAGGAGACACTAACTTTATGGCAGTTGACCGTGACAATGTCTTGGAAACAACCTTTGATGAACTACGATCAGTGGAAGATCCAAGAATTACCTTCCAAGTAGAGTTTTATGGTGAGCAGGCTGAAGATATTGGAGGTCCAAGAAAAGAGTGGATCAGGCTTTTCAACCAACAGATCAAGGCAAAATATTTTGACCATGGACTTAAGGAACACTTAGCAGAGGATTACTATTTTGTAGGGCAGATGGCTGCAATTGCCCTTTTACAGAATGGGCAGGCACCAAGGTATTTTTCTGAAGAACTGTTGAACGACATTTTTGTTAGTGATGAATTAGCAAGTTCAAAGTGTGTTTTGAAGCTTCATCAAGGACTAGATACTCTTGGAATTCACATGTTTGCCCAAAAGTTCCCAATGTTCCTTTACCTGCTTAGACCACCCCAAAACAATGCCAAATTGACAGTTCCACTTATCCTTCATCTCCTTAAACCCACGTTCTCTGAGGAAGGCTCTAACAGTCTAAAGTATGAGAAAGCTGTTTATAGTAAGTTTGTCAAGTACCTGCGAGATGTGGCAAGTGGGCGTAGAGTGACCACATTGAAAAACATCTTGGAATTTGTCACAGGAGCAAGTGAAGAGCCACTGTTGGGCTTTACCCAACAACCAAGCATTCATTTTATGGTTCCCTATGTGCCCGCAAAAGAGACCACAGAAGACAACATCAGTGAAGAACAGGTAAACAATAGTATGTAAATGATGACTATTGTGTTAGCCACTTCAAGCTTATGGGTGGTGTCACCAGACCTGCAAATGTCATCACCAAACCTTTTTTTGAATTGTAAATTATAGTTATGAAGTTTCAAAGCAGATTAGCGGTAAAGTATTTTGATTGAAAAATTAGTGCAACAAATTTTGAGCACAAAGGAGTCTTATTTTCCATCGTCTGTGCTCTTATCAACCACAGAAATGACATTGAAACGTTCAAAACTTTGTGGAATCCTATGGTGTGATCATACTGTAGCCAGTATAGAGGCAGCCTAAAAATGGCTACAATGGCTTCACATTAAAAAAACACTTTCTCTGGTACAAAGTTAATATTTATCTGCCACACCCCTGGTTATGGCTCGAAAAGGTCCTGTTTAGTAGTCCAGGACAACTAGATTTTCGTACTTGCCCTATTGGCAAGGGCCTGGCAAGTCATCTCTAACTAAATGGTAACCTCAAGCACTCATTCAATGACCTCAAGCTAGCAAAATGTGAGAACGGCTTCTTCAAACAACAAGCTGGAATTCAAGTTTTTTGAAGTGCTGCTACATGTATTACTGTTTGTTTTCCAGTACATGTATATCAGATTTTTAATTGCTCAACAGTCATTTTCACTCTGTTATTTTTTCCAGGGTACACAAAAGAAAAGGATCACTACTGATTTCTTGCCTAAGGCCCATACTTGTTCTAATACTTTAAATTTACCAAGAGGAACCCCAAACCTCCCTCTGCCAGCAGACGGGGAATTGTTCAAACTTTATGACTATGCTTTCAAGAATGCATATTTTGGGGTTGTCTAACAAGGTTCCTGACAATAAGTTTTATTGATAGTGTTCCTGGTCAGGCAGGATTACACTTCAACATGTTAAACCCAAGCAGCTCACAAATTTTCTTATTATTATTGAACAATTAGATGCACCTAAAGTATATCAGTTTATTAGTTTTTGCAAATTTAAAATGACTAGCATCAAAACTCAACTCTGTCGTTTTTGAACTTCCCTACTTTTACCCACTGGTTTTTTATTCAACGTTTCCAAGTTTTCTTCAAGGTTATGAAGAACATGCTTAAAAAGGGTTCTCATTGATCTTAGAATTAATTACAATGAATAAAACTTCTTTAAGAGAAGTAGATATTATTGTGATTTGAAAAACCTTTCTGGAAATAGTTTTACTTCCAATTAAGCAAGATTACTTTTAATTGGGAGCAAGTGATTGGAAAATATGTGTTCAAACATTTTAAGCTTACATGTCTTAACAGTTGGTACCATAATTTCACATTTAAAGTTATTCATGAAAATTGATGGAAATATGAAATAAGAAAAGAAACCACTGAAAAGTTGATATTTTAATGATGAACCATTTCACCCCTAGAGTGAATGATGGAGTCTTTTGATGTGGTTCTACCTTTTGAGCCTGTGTACAAAATCCTGACCATTCAAATGAAACCTCTTTTGCAGTACTTTCACAAACTACAGTTTGTTTTCAGATTTTTACAAAATATATGGTAGAATTTTGTGCAATTTGGATCTAGTTGGCCACTTCTGGGAGTGAAAGGGTTGAATTTAATATTAATGTTAATGTTACTGTTGTCGCAAGACTTTGAACATGCACTAGTAATATGATACTGTTATGAACTTATGTCGCCAAAAATTAAATTAAGCTGGCTGACTGTTAATTTCTGACATTGAAAAAATTGATCAACGTTGGACTGAGGATCACTTTCTTCAATAAAAAGTGTTGAATAATTTAAATACCAGAGTTTTTTTGTGTACATACATTCACTGTTTACAGGAAGTCATTATGACTCCTGAAGGAGGATCATGAGTTGTACACTGATATTTAGAAATTTCCATAATCCAAGTCGTGCCCCTCCCTGCTTCCCAGGTTAACATTTGGGCATTGGCATTTTGTACATCACTCATGATGACAGTGAGAACAAGTCAATAACATTGTTCAGTGGCAATACTGTCTTCTTCAGTGTTCTTGCTCTAACTTATGAACTATAATTTCAAGAGCTTTAGCATAAATGTCCACACCAAAACTAGAAGACTCCTGTAAAGGATCAATAGCAGTAGTTAAACAGGCCACCAGTTCATCAGTGTTGTTGCTTGGTAGCTGGGCAGGAAGCACTTCAACATTGTTGTTGGATTCTTCAGTTGGTATCGGTGCTTCAGGATCTTCTCCATAAAATGTCATATCTTCAGGCTCAACGTCATTACTGCCATTAGCAAGAGGATTGCATGGATGCATCATCCCATTCAACCACATTTGATTTGGTGACCAACTGTGCTCTGTTTGGACAGGATGGTCATTGAAAGAGACCATCCACTCAGATAAAGCATTGTTTATTCTTGCCAAATACACATACTGTAAAGTAAACATGTGAATAGGGTTTTCAACATCCAAAACTCCAGTTTGCTCCATTGCATAGAATATGTAGTAAAATACATGGCAAATACATCTGAAAACATCTCTCCATAATCTCTCAATTCTCTGATTTCTAGTGGATGACCCAGCAATGAAACTACCCCGACCTTCTCCCCGAACAGCTACCATTGCATCACATACAGCAGTGTTCTCCACACCATAATCTACCCTGATGCGAGAGGGCCATAACCCACCATCTCGTTCCACAGCACTTTCAAAGAGACCGAGAACTGTTGAAGCAAGATTATTTGTGCTGCAATGAAGGAAAATAATAATTCTTGAATAACCATCGATGCATCCGTGTATTATAAAGCCCCAGCGAATCAATGAGTGATGACCATCTAAATGCCATAACGAGTTTGGCCACGGGACAAAATACACTCTCCTTGACACTAATGCACCCCATCTCAACGCGGTGTTCCTTGGATCTACCCTGTTTAAACTCTCTCTGATCCTCCTTCTCTGTATGGTATATCCCAATGCTCTAAAGTATCCACGGAGGTAGGATTCTCCTGTGGTTGACCCATGGCGTGCAATGTAGTCACGAATGATATCGTCGATTTCTTCATCAGTGATGCTACTGAAGAGAGAGAGATTTTCAAGTTCAAATAAACGAACTCGACGCATAATTGTCCAGCGCGACACTTTAAATATACTAGCAATCTTTTGCCATGTAAATCCCAGCCCTCTCAGCTCTTCGAGTACCTCAGGCGGAATGTGAACCCGTGGTCTACCTGGGCCTTCACTCTTGACCAATAGACTAGGGAATGTTATTACTTGCGAGGTATAAGATGCCGTGCTTCCAAAATGATAAAGGAACTTTTCAAGTAGTTCAGAAAACACCACTCTTAAATCGCCTAACAGTTTCAGATCAGTTTCGTCTGTGACTATCCTCGCCAATTGAGCTAGTAATCTTACCGTTCTCTCCAGGAGATCGAAATGGGTTGAAATACCATGTTCACCGCTTACATTTGAGTTCTCATCAAGAAGTTCCTCCGTCCTGTTTAAGACATGCTCAAAGAAACTCTCGATTCCTAAATCATCACAAACATCGATCATGTCTTCCGATTCCGCCATCTTTTTTGCGAGAAGAGTGTCACCCAGTACCACGCGTTTGTTTTTGCTTGTCCCAGTCCCCGAGATTAAATGAATGAGTGCGAACATTGAACGAATATGGGCTGATTGAATTGAATGAATGTATGTCGTTCGAACTGAATAAAATGCGGTTGGATAAATTGAATAGATATCAGTGATCAAATTAAAAATATATATATTTTTTAAATTGAACGAATACGGAAGGATTGAATTGAATAAGTATCAGTGTTCAGATTGAATGACTTTTAGTAGATTAAATTGAATAAATATCAGTTATTAAATTGAATGATTGGGGATTGAATTGAATGAACATTGAGGATTAAATTGAATAGAAGTAAGCAAATAGCAAAAAAAAGGTATTAAACTGAATGCATTTATAAATATTGAATATTGCTACATTTGGCTTGGCATACTCCCCCCCGGGAGGACTTCTCTCCTGGTCCCCTTACCTCTAGATTTCTAGTGCGACTGGAAAACCGTGAACAATTGAAATATTTTAGGAATGTTTATCGTGTTATGACCAATCACAGCAAAGATCAGCACGCACGAACTAGCCACAAAACCAGAAACTAATCAGCGTTCTTAGTTTTCTCACGCCTGATTGGCTTTTTTCTTGCAACACAATAGCATTCCAGAAAATTAATATTACTGTTGTTCACGGTTTTCCCGGTTTGACTGTAAACGCTTCCCTGCCACCAGAATTTTGCCGATTTCTTTCTTGTGTGTTTTCTGTTCGATTCGCTATCTGGCGAAGAACCTTTATGCAAAACCACTGCCGATTGGAAGAGTTTATTAATACAGTTAATTCCAAGCGTGCCCATTCCCCTCCCCCTGGCATTTGTTGGGCATTTGTCATTTTGTTTTGGAAAAGCGGCAAATGCCCCGGGCCGGGCGTTCATACAAATACCGCACGGTAAGCTTAAAACAATGGAGTGCAAACGCCCCACCCCGGGACAACACCAAAATTACATTCTCCAGTAAATAAGCTGCAGAATACCACATTTGTGGGAAATCTGTAATTATCTGATCAAACTCGCACGTGAAGCACTCTACGCAAGTTGCCCCTAGCCGCCAGTTAGAATTATTGCAAAAAAGATCACGTTGATCTGATTAATTAATCTCAAGGAAAGAACTATAAATTAAAATTTTAATAATACCATGTTTTCAAAGAAGTTTAATACAGTGAATGATTAACAAACCACCGACGCGCTTTACATGAGCATTTCCTCATCACGATGGAACCCTTGAATTGTCGCATTAATCCGAGATCGTACAATACAGCAACTGAGTTTCAACCGTCTTTCGTCGCTCTGCATGGCGAGCCGAAAGTCCGCATTCGAACGGGTTGTTATTAAAAATTGCAATTACCGGAAGAAAATTGGCGAGAGTAGTACAATCACAATGTAAAACAGAGTGTTTGAGGATTTTTTAAGCCGGCTTCTGTCTTGTCTTCAGTATTTTCCTCGAGTTGTCTTGAGCTTCGGAGGTCGCTGCTCGTTGGGCTTTTGCTTGCGATGCTATTCCCACCAAGTAGAAAGAAATGGAGCAACCATATACACACAGTCTGATATAAGGTAACTTGACTTGGTGGAATTCTCATCCCGCCAAAGTTTCTTAACACCATGCGAGTCGAGGGACTCAAATGGAAAAAAAAAATACATGGCCGCAAACTAGCTGCCCCCAAGACGACGAAGAGGAGAACAAAACAAAAGAAAACACAAAAAGTATAATGTTTGTATTTCATGGGCATATATTTTTAGCTAGACAACTCCTTGGGCCGATACAAGGGGTACAGCCACAAATTCTATGGTTGATTGTCAGACATTACGACATTTCGTTTAGAGGTCCAAACTGCAGTTTTTAGTATCACGTAGGAATTAGTTTCAAGCTGTTTCAGGACGGAAAGCCAATGTGATTACCCATGCAGGTTAAGCTTAAAGAAACTGAAAGTATTTATATTAAGAGAACAGAAGAGAAGCAGAAAAGCAATGTTTAAAGACTCAATATTACAATTTAATTTTCTATGGCTCTTGTCGTGCTTTCTGTTTTAGAATGGTGTCCTTTAGGGATCAATATAATAAAGTTATAAAGTACACACCCAGGTGGATCTCATTTAGGGGTTTAATTCCAATTTCCTGACAGGTGTCCCCGCCCCCTAGTCATATAGAAGGTACCCCTAGGGTAAAACTGACCCCTCGGTATCACTTCTCTCGCCTTCCATTAATATAGTTTGTCCTGCCACCACAGTTATTAATTGGCATTTAAGCCCCTTCCTGGGCAACGTTGGAAAGAGCCAGAAGGCTCGGCAAACGTTCCTCGATAAAGTTAAAGATACTAAATAATTATATAAACAACAATATAAACTAAGATAAAGACAGGCTAAGGAACTCAGACTGAATGCTTTAAAATAACTTTTATGGTACGAATTGTACAGTTATCGTAGTGCTTCAAGAGAAACTGAAAAGTTAACCTGAGTAGCATCCCTTACCAAATCCAACACTGTTTTGAATGTATTTTTAAGCTATTTTTGAAAACTGTTTTAACCTGTTTTGTGAAATAGGTTTTAAATAGGGTGAAAAGTGTATTTTTAATGTATTTTTCGACTGCTTTTAAAGGTGTTTTAACCTGTTTAAAATGCTATTAAAAAACAATTTTTAAAGTATTTTAAAATTCGTTTAAAATATAAAAAAATCCCAGGGCTTTTGCAAGGCTCAAAACAGGTCTAAAACAGTTTTTAAATACCTTATAAATCGGAATAAAAACAGGATAAAAACAGTTTTAAAAACATATTTTAATTTGCTATACTATTTTAAAACTATTTTTAATGGCAATTTTAAACGTATTTTGAAAAAAACAGGTTTAAAATAGGTACAAAAATATATTTTTCGACTGATTTTAAAGGTGTTTTAACCTGTTTAAAACGCTATTAAAATGTTATGCTTCAAAATATATTTTAATAGCTGTTTAATCGGTCTCTAAATTTAGTAAAATACTCGTATTTGCAAATACAATAAAAATACTTTGAAAATAGTATTAAAATAACACAGAAGAAGAAAAGCAATATAGCACGCATATATTGTGAAAATACATCAAAAATAGGATGCAAAAATGCAAAAACAGGATAAAATTGTAAGAAAATAGCCTTAGAGTTGTCTGAAAACAGTACAAAAATCGGTCGAAAGAGCATAAAAACAGTACAAAAACAGGATGGAAATACCATTTAAATTCATGAAATAAAATGACTACATAACCGTCGAAAATTACCCTGAAAAAGCAAGATTTACCTCTGCGAAATTTCTCCACACAGTCCTAGGCCAGGACTTCACGAGAATTATCTCTTAGCCGATGACTTTACGTTGATTTCCCTACGAATTCTCGGGAAATTCTTATGGAATTTTTCAGAAATGGTGAAATCAATCTTTAGCCTGTGTACAGACCCCCTCCCCTCAATAAACATCGGAGGGGAGGGGATCTGTACACAGGCTATCAATCTTCAGCTTCAAAAGGGGTTTGCGTTACTGACGTTACCGGTAAATAATAATCTACATATATACATGTAACTTACATTATTTATTATATTCACGGCTTTACTCAAGTATTATCAGAAGCTTGCAGGCTACCCCTGAACATTAATTATTGGCTGATAAAGAACAACATAAGAATAACACCATCAAATTTACGCGAGAATGAAAGAGCGTGACATCAAGTGACTGAGATCATTCATGCAACACAGCCAGGATGAGCATGGAACCCTGTAAAAACTAAAATTGCCGTACAGGCGGGAGTATATAAATGTTTACTACCCTTCATTTGTTTCTCATATGGCGTATACTTAAGGGTCTTAGTAACATGTTATAATACTCACATGAGAGAAGACTACTTGGATTAACACATAAGACAGCGTGCTTCGAATAGAACCTGAACCAGAACCTTTCAAAGTACATAGCAGTCGCTGAGGAGTCATACCCATTTTTGATTCGTGATAAAAGCAACATCTACGTGTTCAGACAATCCGCGGAGTTGAAATGTACTTTTGTAAGATCGTAACAAACAGTAAAATCAAGGGCACCCGCAATCACAGTAACCGCCGGTTCAATAATTTGAAATTTCAGCAAAGGACAAAGGACGGTTTGTTTATAACGTGCATTTGTCACATCACCGCGGCGCGAAGTCGTGATTTCAGTCGCGCGTGACATCGCAGAAATAATATGCTATGCATGTACGGAATAATCTATGAGAGAAAGATAACCATATGTCGGAGTTATTCAGATCTGAGCTTTGTTTCTTGATGCAATATATACGGGGTGAGATCTTAGCTTGGATAATTTATTTATTATGTAATTTCAAGGGCTTATTTTAGATAAACCTCTGTTGACCTCGTGCATCCGGTTCTCGGCCCGCGGCCTCGGCGAGTGATGTAGCAGCTATCGTAAGGTCTCCTCTGATTGGCTAACAGCTTATTCCTTTGTTTTATTAATTTTTATATGTCCCTTTATAATTTTTTAACCTGAGGTTATGTTTGATAGTTGATTGTAATTAAACTAGAAGGTTAATTTAAATTTCATACTAGAGATTGTCATTCTAAGACTTAAATGGAAAGCAAGCATTGCGTATAGAGAGCTTGACACATAAAGAGGCGTATTTAACGTATTTATAAGATAGCCTGCCTAGCAGGCGTCCAAAACTGAGAAGAGGAAGGCATAAGGAGAAAGGGGGAAAAGAGAGCCTTTCTTCCTACTCTCTCACTCTCCCCTTTTTTCGCCTGTCACGGAGACCAG